GTATCCCGGAAAAAGGTGCTAAGTCTAGAATTGACGAAGGTACTATAATAGTAGACAGGAGATAAAAAGTATGTTAAGAGATAAAATCAAGGAAGTCGTTAACTTCTACCAACTCAGATATAAGATCAACAAAGAAACAATAATAATGTTATATAGACACTTTTATACTTTCTTCCGAGGAAAGATCAAACCTCTACTTACTCATAACAATATTTAACAATCCGTAGAGATTTTTCCTTGTGAGACTTTGGTAAAATATCAAAAAACGTTCATTTTTCGCTCGCTTGATAAGGCTAGTATTAATTATGGTATAACTTGCAAAAAATATTACGTAAAAATCATTATGGAAGAAATGGGGATTAAATATAACGATATAGAGAAAAGCTCGCAACATCATAGTACAAATAATACACATGAAATGGTTAGTGGTAACAACAACTGCATGCTATTACATAAGCATAAAATGATATGCAAAAGAAATAGTCTCAACGTAGATGAAAATACTGATATACCAACTATATATGCTCTTCCGAAGTTACATAAACATTCAGTAAAACTCAGGCATATCACAGGAGCTCGGAAGAGTAGTGTGAAACCATTGGCAAAAGAATTACATATCATATTTACATACATTATGAAACACTTCATCAAGTATGCCATGGTGATACAAAATAAAAAAAAGACAACAAAAAATTATTGGTTTTTAAGTAATATCAACATTAGTGAAGATATCAGAAATATAAAAAGCTCAAATCCTAAAGTGTTCACAGCGGAGTTCACAGATATGTTTACAAATTTGGAACATGACCTTATTATTGGAGTCAAAATGTTGATAAACCTTATGAGAAAGCAGGTAAAGATAAGATCGCAACTAATGGATAATTACTACACGGATGGTAAGGAAATCAAAAGAGGGCAGAGGGTGTATAGTAAAGTTGATCTTATATACTACACAGACTATATGCTTATGAAAAGTTTCTGTCAGTTTGGAGGCCATATATACAAGCAAAATAAGGGAGTCCCCCAAGGTGGTAATTTCAGCCCACTGTTAGCAGATCTTACATGTCTATGATGGAATTTAACTATAGCAATAATAATGAATTAGCTTGCAATAAGTTGTTCATTAACTTCAGATATATGGATGATCTTCTGATAATACATAAACAAGAATATGAAATAGAGAATAATATTGATTATATCTATGAAGGTAAACTTGAATTCAAAAAAACAAATTCCGATGAGTGGAATAGCCATTACTTAGATTTGAAGATTAGAATAACTAATAATAGAATACTCACCAGTTTAAATAACAAAACAGATGATTTTGGTTTTAGGGTTCTAAGATTTCCACATTACAGCACCAATATTTCCACTAATACCGAAGCATCTGTTAGCTATACAGAAACACTTAGAATAGCTAACACTTGTTCATTATTAGAATCTTTTGTTAAGAAAATAAATGAAATGGTTGATGTGTTAAATTCAATTTGTTATAAAAATGAATTTATTATTGTCAATATAATAAAGTGTTTATATAACAATAAAAACATATGCTACAAATAGGATATGAACAGTGATATTGCACAAATAAAAAATTTGTAGAAGGTATAGTTAGGGACACTCAATGAGTAAATTGATGAACATTATCATTTATATTGATTGCTAACACTTTCGTTACATTGAAGTGTGCACATATTCATACAAACATGCACGCATACATACATACATACATACATACATACATACATACATACATACATACATACATTCATACATGCATACATACATACATGCATACATGCATACATGCATACATATATAAGTACTTACAAACTTACATACACGCATACATACATGCAAACGTACATGCCCAAACTCCTATCTATGCTTTCATGTTTTTACATGCTCTAGTAACAATTTCAAATGGACATATTATGATTCTGATTCCTTTAAAAAAGACCTTTACTTGTTGAAGACCTTAAATAACAAAGCATCTACATTGCATATTTGCAATGCTTCAGTTGTTCCATATTCCTCCACTTCTTGATTACTACTCATCTATTTGACTTGATCTTTTCTTTTTTTTCCGTTTTTTTCATTTTTTCACTCTTTCTCACACAGCAGCCGTAATTGCCCATTCTTTTTTTGTCATCATTTAGTCACTGACGAGCCTCGGGTGATAACAGATTTTGGTTCGTATGACTAAAAGGCGAAACGAACCAAAATATAATATTTATGTATTTTTTAGTACTACTTGACGTAGGCATGATTTTCAATTAGTGTTTACGAAATGTAGTTTTGTACTTTTTTTTAGCAGAATTTGCGACATTGCTCTGATGGTAGAGATTGTAGGCAAAAACTCTCATCAAAATGGCTGTTAGAGGCGATCTGACTCTTCTCAGCGGCTTCAGCACTCGAAATGTGGAATAATTGTATGCTTTGAGATCTCAATATTTCTTCCAGGCTGAACACCCTTTAGTCAAGAAAAGGTTTGTCAAAGCGCGTGCCGCGCGCAAGTAGCGCTCGGCATTTGTTTTTTTCTCTCCAACTTCTTCTCGTCAAGAAGCTTATACGGCTTTCGGATCTTATCTGGATACAACTGTATTTACTAGGGGTAGACTCCTCTCATCGGAATAGAACATACAAACAAATCAGCAGCCTTTTTTCTCGTATTTCGGCAGGTTTCGCAGCGTACTCCTTCCCAAGTGATTCTATTCGGAAAAGGGGTTGTATGTGAGGCAAGACGATCGTCATGAGGTAAGCTATATCATGAACATAAGGGAAGGTGCAGATTTGGAGAAACCCTCCAAAAAAGAAAATTTCGAACGTCCGAAAAGTTGACACCATATTTATGGCGCACCCTGTATTGGATTGTAACATAAGTTCGTAGAGTTTTGCTTTAGAGTTATTTTACGACGAGTTGTTTTGTTTTTTAGCAAAGTGTAGACATTCATTCGAAAGAACTCTCTCTCCTCTACAAAACTGTTTTATTTGTTTTTTTTTTGAATAATGCAATTGTTCATCTGTTTTCTGGTTCAGAAATGGAATATCGAGGAGGAAAAAATCAGCATTCATGACATCTTCTTTTCTTTGCTTTTCATCGAGGTCAAAAAGCAGCCGAAGTTGCAGGGGACATATGAAGTGTGTGTGCGGGGAAGGTCTCTTAAGTGTGTCTACTGCACAAAAATAAAAGGATTGGGTGGCCCTACGAGAGATTCCGAGGCCGAGAAACAAGCAAGATCTTCAGCCAAAAAAGGTCGTGATCTACGTATGGAGGGACTGGGAAGGCATGGTTCATTGAGAAATGCTCGAACGCCACTGTCAACAAGGATGTCTGCATTGTCCAGTTGAACCGTGTAAATGAGGCCATTAGGCGGAAAAGACCCGATAGACAAGGTCAAGCCATTTTGCTCCACGACAACGCCAGGTCCCATATTGCCCAAGTCGTCAAAACAGCACTCCAAGAGCTCGAATGGGAGGTTTTTCAGCATCCGCTGTGCTCTTCGGATCTTGCACTTATCGGCTATCACCTTTTCTGCTCTCTGTCAAACCAAATGTGGGGTGCTACTTCCGATGGCGAAGAGTGTCTTAAAAACTGGCTCGACCACTTCTTCGACACCGTACCGGCTGTTTTTTGGCCAAACGGCATCAACAAATTGGTCGGGAGATGGGAGGAGGCCGTAAACAGTAACGGAGGATACATCATTGATTAATTTATTATTATAATTATTGGTTTTTGTTCAAAAAACCTTTGTGAAAAAAGCTCTAAGGACTTATATTACAAACCATTATAATGAATGGATTGCTTTTCAGTTTTTTTTATTCAGAATGATACATAATGTAGCTCCAACTCAGCTCGCCGAGTTCCACAAATCGTTTTCAATTCCAATGGGGATTTAGACATCGTTAATTCCATGCTTCCTCCAGTTCCTTATGTCATCAGAACGACGTAGATTTAATTCAAATCCAGAGGCGATCGCTTTCAAAGAATACATTCAAAGATTTGTGGACTAGCTATCCTCCTCTAAAACTATCATGGTCACCCTTGGCAGTTTTGATGCACCTAGGCGTGAGAATTGAGCTTTTCAAACTCTCGAGCCGCCACTTTTTGGTCGAGCTGACCTAAACTACGAGACATTCAAGAAATAAATGGAAGATAACACCGGTAATTCGCGCTTCTTTGAATTTGGTCGAACAATTATCCTGGGATTCGTATGTTCGCTCAGAGCTGTGTAAGCTCTTTTTGTGATAAACAAACAATGCTCATTCATAGAAGTTCAATACCGTTCCCTTCCGAACAAAGTGGCTGTTCATTCACATCCACAACACCCTCGGTATTACTGCATTTAGTTTGAGTTCAGGTTTTCCTCTTAAAAGCATGGTGTATGTAGTTCACTAAGACAACCACTTTATAGCTTCACTACAACACGAACAATCATTTAAAGTACCTATATACATGTAAAAAGACTCTGGAAAGGCAGGCAAGACTAATGAGCAGTTTGGTCAACGACGACGACGGCAGCATTGCGAGCTTCCGCATGGATCATAGTTCTGTGGGCACGAGCACCCTGCACCGTAGCTCATCTGTGACTGGCAAGCGATGACAGGAGCTGTCTGGCAGGATGTAGCACATGACGTCGCGCATGCTGGAGCGCACTGACTTCCCTAAATAAGGCGGAACATGAATGGAGCAGAATTGAGCTCAGGCAGTCTACTCTGAAAACGAAGTGTTTCTTGAAGACGTGACTCATAGAGAGAGGACCTAGTTGCTACCCCTGACCATCTTCACAGGAAGATGAAGGACATGAACGTACATGGTTCTGCTGTACGCACTGAACGTTGCAGCTTTGCTCGCATTGGGGTTGGCAGTGAGGGGAAGAAGCGGAAACCGGCACATTAATTGTCAGTACTACCTAAAACTGAGGGGTCACTTTGAATATTCCAACAGCCACCAGTAGAATAAAAAATTCGCAACCATGAAAGGTTTGAATTTTGTATTGCTAAAAAACCCATACAGCATGGTGCTGTGTACATGATGTCGAACAGGCTGGCTGACATGCTGGAGCGCATGGAACTTCCGGCTGTTGCACCTGCGGTACTTGCACCTAAAATAGCCAAGTTATAGGTATAAGCAGTGGTTTAGTGCTAAACAGAAGAGCCAGTAAGTTAACGAACAACTGGCACAGCTTGGACACATGTTGGGGCACAGGCTGGTTGACAAGCGGGGACGCACTGCTGTTGTGGACGGATCTGCTGAAAAGACAATAAAACGAGTCGCAGAGACTGTAGAACCTCTGAAGATCTTCGAGGTATGATTCTAGTCGCAAGCCAAGAACGGATCACTGGTCACGACGCAGTTTATAGGCATTCCCATAGCATTCGTCCAGACCTCTTGTTGCCTTTTCAGAATCAACCATGTGGTGTCTGGATCCAGGGAAACAACTTCTGCCTCTTGCATCGCTCGAATGGGGCAGAGGATGGACATTTTGGTGTTGTGGAAGTAAAGAGTTGCTAGATGGTATTCGCTACAGTTCGATGTGCAGCATGGCAGATGACAAGAGCAGCGTGCAGAATCTGCCCATCGCTCTCCCTTAGGCGTTTAGACGTCATGAGAAGAGGCATCTTCACGGCGGACATGCTCCTGTTTTTGAAGGCTTCAGAATCGCTCATAAGGATTTTTGCAAATGAAATTCTCACATTCCAACTTTCCTTTCCCATAGTTGTCCTGATTCCGGAAACTGCAGATCCTGGTTCAGCACGAGGAATTTTTTTGAATTCGTATACGTATACCGCAATGGGATGAGGTGATGGGCGACTCTCAAATGTGAAGATGAAAGATTCAGCGATAGGACGTAAAAAACCGGGAGCCATTAGAAAACAAAACCCATGCAACTGTCGTCAGCTGAATCCCGTCATTGTGGAAGTAACTGAAGTATGTCATCTGAGAAGTCCTGAATCTGAGACCTTTCTTGCCCTGATATCCCAATCTGAACTTCGCAGATTGAAGAAGGGAAGTGAAGGTGGACGTGTTAGGGCCCCTAACGAGAGGACAGTTTTAGCTTATCCAGGAATTCGCCAAAATGCAGCGTCTTAGCTATACTTTCGCCTCCCCTGGCAATGAGATATGAAGCAAAAGAAGAAGGATACGCGAATCACATCTAGAAAAGTCTTCACAACCCCACTAGGCAGCTTTGTAGCTGCGTATCAGTTTTATTGGTGTGTTCTCAACAATGAATCTAGAAATCACCTCTACTGAGTACTGATATATACTATACTATACTATACTATAGAAGATTGAAGATTGAAGCCTTCTCACCGTAGTCTGGCAGACGGCCTGGCACTGTTGACTGCACTGTTGGTCGCAGTTCTGAGCACCTTGTTGCAGACACTGTTGGTGGCACTGATTTTGGCATTCGTCACACTGGTTAGCTTCGGCGTACTGAAGTGGTAGAGAATGATGACAACACTATTACCCATTGGTCTGTTGGTCCCTTCGCATAATATACAATAGATCCCGTGTCAGCTTTCACTTGCGCTCTGGAGCTAACTAGTTCTAATAGAACCAGTATGTGTACACTTTTTGGGAGAGATACAAGCTACGGGCCAATCGATGGGTGCAGTTTGTGACTATCCTATTCATACGTTTTTTGGGAACTTATAAACAAAGAAATTTGTACTTACAGGTTGATAAGGCTGCGGTTGTTGACCACAAGCGGATTGGCAGTTTTGTTGGCAGATTTGCTGGCACTGCTGCGGAGACTGACCGGCTGCTTGACATTCGTTCATACACGCAGTCTGACACTGTTGACATGGATTCTCCTCACGGTACGGCTGGTAGATTTGCTTAAAGCAGGTATCACTTTGATTATATTGGAAGCTGTCAAGGTGGAGCTGGTTATAGATAAGGCAAGGTTAAACGAGCTAAGCTCTCATCAATTCATGACACCCCTATCCCAGCCATGCCAGGACTTTTCACTCCGCTATATTTGCATCCCCAGTATCCCTTTTTCATGCAGCCCTTCGGATCCACTATGAATTGCTATGCTACATTCAGCACACCTCCCGTCCTCTGTCGGCTACTGTCGAGTTTTGTACCACATGTCCAGTTGTCCTCTACTGCCACCATCTACAGTTTTATGAATCAAACCTATTGGGACCCCCGGTGGCCTCAGTTCTGAGAATCTGTACTTAAGTACATGAAGACTTCAAATAACGCTTGCGTTCGACAACAGCCTCTGAAGTCAGAAGGCAGCGGTGCCATGAAGTGGCTGTGCGAGTCTAGAAGTGGGTTGAGCAAAAAATGCAATCTAGAAACGTTGTGAATCGCCATTCAAACAAACCCGGCTCCGTGACTTTGTTCACATTAGAGTTTTTTTACGAGGTAGAAAGAATTTGTTTGCTCTGTTCCCACAACTTCTCTACTTTTTTCATCTCCTATTTTTGTCACAGCTACTCCATCCGAAAGCGATTCCAATCAGTAAGCAGAATGGATAGTTGGTATGCAGATTATTTGATGTACGTTCGGAGAATTGCTTCGAAAATTAAAGCAGTCCACTTTTGCTGATCGCCCGCTCGGTTCGCTTGAGTTCGCTATTTAACCTCTTGCTCACGCCTTTTCTACTACGCATCAATCACTGCTCCGGCCCCCGCTCTGTCGGCTTAGGATGCGCTTACTATGCTATGCTGCTTTCAAATTACTTCTGGTTGCAACAAAGTTGTATCTTCAGAGTCAGTCTAAACTGCCGTTCAAACGCTGCTTTGAGTAAATATAAAGTAATCGCTAACACAACNCTACTACGCAGCAATCACTGCTCCGGCCCCCGCTCTGTCGGCTTAGGATGCGCTTACTATGCTATGCTGCTTTCAAATTACTTATGCTTCCAACAAAGTTGTATCTTCAGAGTCAGTTTAAACTGCCGTTCAAACGCTGCTTTGAGTAAATATAAAGTAATCGCTAACACAACCCCAAATTTCAAGAGAATGAAAAACGGTCGTACCGGCGTTGTGGGTGGATAAGTGATTGGAGCCATTGTGCTGCTTGGTACGAAAGCTGGAGTGCTGTATACTGGTTGCGGTTGCGAGTATTGTTCGCTGAAAATGATTTCTCAAGCCAAAGTTGAGAATTCATGATATTTTCAATCTGGAATTCCCCGAAAGTACGCACTTGAGCTCTGCGTGCATAGTTAGGTACTTAAAAATCCACTCCTGTTAACCCAGACTTGCTCAAAACCCTTCGGAAAAGGTCGCTTTCGAAACCCGATGATGGTAAGCCTCCCCCCGTCGTGGGCAGTTGTGAGCTCATACACAGTGCGTCCTGAACTTATCGACGGATCTCGCAATCCCAACAATGCCCGTGGTGGTTTTGCTGCGTCATTGTGAGCATTTCCACGAAAGTTGTGTTTTTCTTTTCCCCTGTTGGCTCGTCGACCCGCAGAGTGTTTGCAGATGTTCATTTCTACGAGTAGTATTTGCGTACTCACCAGCTGGTCTGGCAGGTCTGTTGGCACGCGGGCTGGTTCTGCTGCAGTTGGCAGGCGACGTTACATTGTTGCGCGCACTGAAACTCGGTACTTTGTATATGACTGAGCTATATTTTAGAAGTAGATCAACATAAATGAGGCTATGGGGGATCACGGCATTATTCCAGATAATTCAGTAGAACAGTGAACAGCTACTCTGCTTTCCATGCAAGTGAAGCTGTTCCAGTGGATATGGGACCAGCCCAACGCCCATTTCAGAGACTAACGAGAAAATTTCGGTCAGATTGCTTTGCCGTACCTGCTGCTGTATGGGCTGTTGAGTGCATGCCGATTGGCATGTATTGCTGCAGGAGTGCTGACATTGGGCCACAGGCTGCTGCTGTTGTACGCAGGATTCGACACAGCTCGACTGACACACGGGAGCACATTGAGTGACAGTCTGAATGGGAATAAATCTTCTTCTGGACTATGTATAAGCTCGAGCACCGTACATACAATTTGCCGTTTATTATCTGAAAGTTAGACTGGGTCAGAATAATCGACTTGGTTAGCGTTGATAGGGAGACGGTAGTGAGTTGAAACTGTCCTCATTTCCTCTTTATCACCGGAATTCGGTGTGCACCTATGTTTGGTATTGACGTGGTATTTTGAGACTACCACCCACTGCACAAACATCCTAAGCCCCTTGAAACTGGACTCTCTCTCTCTTTCGATCAGACGTAAAGGGAGAGACAGGTGTCGGTTCTACATTCACCGGTATCATCATTGAAGAAGCAGTCATTGGAGGTGATGATAGGTGATAGATAGGTGATCGCAAATGATGGCCGAATCGAAGCGCTAACTCAAGTTAGAAAGAAAAAGCGGTTTAGGAGCCTTTATTCGGAGGAAAACACGCTTTGCAAAAGCAAAAACGACAACGAGAAGCAAACCCTCATCGCTCATCTGAAGAGGTATGTAGAGCACTACCCCTACGCTACGGGGAGCCTTGAAGCCATTGCGAGCAACTGGGCTTATCAACTGGCACTATCTCTCCATGCTTTGAGCATACAAATTTTGAACGCTCCCAACTTTTTTGATAGGCTCAGTTTGCAGTTTTAATTTCCAATTTTGTTAACGATTTTCCAAGCCCTATCTATATAACTCGATCTCTATTCAAAGTTCCAGTTGGAACCCGTAAGGTGAAAATTGATCGGTCAGCTAGCTTACCTGTGTAGCGCACTGCGAGTGGCAACCAGTCGTCTGCACTGGCGGAGTGCATTGGCAGCTCTGTTGAGGGCTGAATTCGATGATAGCCTGACATATGCATTGGTGTTGAGAGCAACCGCAACGACGTGAACGGATCTATAAACTTGCTATGGCGTTAATATAATATGACAGGCTTTCCACAGTAACACTGGCATCAGTTGCAGTGGAGGCCTAATGACAGTGGCACAAAAAGGGCGAACAGGAATAAGCAAATTGGAAGTATTGCAAATCCTGCCAGTGATATGATGTGACGAGNCATTCACCGGTATCATCATTGAAGAAGCAGTCATTGGATGTGATGATAGGTGATAGATAGGTGATCGCTTTTTCTTTCTAACTCAAGTTAGAAAGAAAAAGCGGTTTAGGAGCCT